AAGATAGTAGGAAGGGAGAAATGAAGGGGGGAAATCAGAGGGGGAGATGAACCATGAGAGACGATGGACTCTGAGAAACAAACTGAGGGTTCTAGAGGGGAGGGGTTGGGAGGATGGGTTAGTCTGGTGATGGGGTATTAAAGAGGGCACGTTCTGCATGGAGCACTGGGTGTTATACGCAAACAATGAATCATGGAACACTACTAATGTATGGTGATTAACATAATAAAATAAAAAAAAATTTTTAAAAATACCACTGTAATGTGAGAGCTTGGGTGATGGCAATTGATAAAACATCCCGTGAGGTGTCTTAACATTGGATTTCCAGAATCTAAAATCTTTCCTCTCTCAGCTATAATGTGTACTTGGTCTTGTAGCAGTGAATGAAACTCACTAAGAAATATTTGTTCTTTTATAGACTGGTGGTTCTCAGGCTGCGGCCAGTATCAGAAGCACTGGATGGCTTATTAAAAGAGATTTCTGGGCTCTAGCCCCCAGCGTTTCTGATTTAGGAGGTCTGGAATGGGGCCTGAGATTTTCATTTTCTAACAAGTGATACTAACGCTCGCGCTGCTGGTCTGGGGACCACACTTGGAAAATTACTGATACAGACAGTCGATTGCTGAAAAAACAAAAATGGTACCACCAGAATCCCCCAACAAAGCTTTACTTCATTGTTACTCTTCAAATCAGACCGTTGAGAGATGCTTCTCTTTGCCTGAGATACTAAACATGTAAACATCATAATTGTCTTTCCAGACAAGCGGGCCGGGCAGTTGGTCTCAACATTTTAATTAATGAGTCCTTTCCTTTGGTCCACTATGGATCTTTCCTTTCTTTCTGAACTACCTGTTGAAGGCTTTGTTCCTGTTCTACCCTTCTTCCCTCCCTCCTTTCTTTTGGTGCTAACAGCTTTTATGGTGCTGCCTGGTAAAGGAGTAACTCAGAGTCCCGCAGAAGTGGGCTGTCAGGATGTGCTCGCATGTGGAAACAGTCTGCATTGAGCTCAGGCATGAGAGGTCTGCCTTCTTATGGTTGGCGGCATGTTGATAGCGCTTTGGGTGCAGGTGTGTGCACATGGAAGCTTACCACTGAGATTGTGCATATTCGTATGTAAACACAAACATTAATGTCAGGGCTAAGTCTTTACTAGTCAGTAACTTGCATATGACTATACCAGGAAGCATACACTTTTTAGAATTTACTTGAAAACTTTGATTAATTTGGCAGGAGAGGTGTTTTCATTATTGCATCTAAGTGGTTCTCTTCAAGGGAACAGCTCTTTCTCTTACTTAAGGTGAGGAGATTGGCAAAGATAACTTGAGTTGAATCAAAGAAAACAGCCTTTTATCCAGTTACGTAACTAAATCTAACAGAAGCAAGAATAGTTTTAGGAAGGTAGGTTTGATATTGTAGAAATGAGGGGAGAAGGTGTTAGCATACTCCATGAGGAGAGTTATAAATTCCCTTCTTACTTGCTTACTCCCATATCAGTGTGGCTGATGAGAAGCTTTGCAATTGTTTTACTGTTGGTTTTTAACTAACAGATATTTTTTCTTTCTTCACGTTGGTTAAATTATAGTACAAAGTGTGCTGTTTGACTTAAGTCAATTCTGAAATCTTTGCTCACATTTATATACTCTCCAGTCTTTAGATTATATTTAGGTACAAGCTTTGCTTGATTCTTTGATCCCAGGAAGACAGGGGTAATCCAATGGGATATTTTTTCTGTTTTGTAATAGTGTCCTTTTTTTTCTAAATGGAATGACTGTTTCAGGGCTATGTTTTTTAAAAATAAAATGTACCTTCAGCAGAATTAGATAAATAATCTCTTGTAACCTAGAAAATGTCTTTAATATCTTTTCTCTTTAAAATTGCTTTTTATATGGTTAATAGTTCCCATAAAGATAACACTTTTCTGGCCAAATATCATGGGTTCTTGCATAATTAGGGAGTTTTCCAACATTGTCTTTTATGAATGATATAAATAGGAAGGCATAGACTGTTAGCTCCAGGAAGACGGGGACTTTGTTTTGTTCATGAATGTATTTCCAACACTAAGAACCGTGCTTGATACACAGTTCTCGTATTTGTGGAATGAAGGAAAGAAATCCCGGAGCTTAAGAGTTCTGCATATATTGTATTACTTAATACCACAAGGTGGTGCTGTTGTACCATGAAATGCAAGGCTGTAATTCTTAGGCTGTCATATAGTTTTATGTAAATCCTATAGATAAGCAAAATGAATTGACTACCTAGTATGTTTATTGCCTCCTTCAGTTATTTATCGTTTTAGCATGTGCTTAGTCTTTTGATTACATGATTAGGTCAGGCAGTGAGATCATAACCTAAATAAAGAACATTTGGTTCACATTTTTATCAAATGTGAAATGAGATAACATCTATAAAAACCTAGCACAGTACCAAGTTAGTCTCCTTTTCTCTCTTTTATTTTGTGTGTAAACCTTTGTTAAATATTTATTTGTTTTAAAATAATTTGCCAGAATTTTTCTAATAAATCATCACTAAATGTTATATTTAAGTCTGTATTGATTTCCAGATTTTGAAAATTGATAACAAACCTAGACTTTATTATATTCCCTCCCCCTGCCAAAAAAAAAATTTTTTTTTTCTTTTGCTTCCATGATTCTTTTATGGGGTTAAAAGTAGTTTATTAACATATAGCTCTAATACATATTTGTGCCTATATCATAGTGTATAAATTAAACTATGATTTGTCTTGTTTTCATTCCTTTTATGAAACTAAGTGTTGATAAGTTTGTTTTGTAGCTTGGGCTTTTTTATTTCCTTATGATTAAATTGCCTTTTGATGTTTTTTTCTGTAATTGTCCTCAGACTGAAATGAAATCAGAAGAGGGCCCTGGATGGACAATCTTACGTGATGATTTCATGATGGGAGCGTCCATGAAAGACTGGGACAAAGAAAGTGATGGTGCGGATAACAGTGAGCCAGGGTCTGGGAGCAACTCGGATACATAAGATTGTAGAGGAAACACAGCATACAATCATTCTATTTTTCCTAGAAAAATACTTTGTGCTTTCAAAGGTCTGTGGCTCTGAAGCTATCATTTGTAGAAAGCCAAAAGACTTTTACTATTACCAACTTTGGTGTTTTCTCTTTTCATGAAAACTTTGTTAAATTAGGTTTCTTAAACCTTGTATAATTTTAAGCATTGTTTCTCAGACATTTGTAAAAAGAAGTATTTCTGCTTAACCAGCGAGATGCACATTTTGCCTGGATCATTATAAGTTTACATATTGGTCATGGATATTGGTATTTTGTTTTAGTATCACCAGTTTCTAGAAGTGCAGTGCTTTTCATAATTAAAATGAACTCCTTGAAGTTAATATTTTTCAGCTTTCCAACTTACTGGTCCTATGTGTTTGTGCTTTTGTGAGGGGAATTTTTGGTATTTGTTTTGGTGAGCTATTGAGAAACCTATGAAGTGAAATTTAAAATGATAGTATTTCTGATTCAGGGTGATAATTTCATTTTTAGAACTCCTGGTAAATAAGATTTAAGAAACACACCAAATCTCTACTTTTCTATTATGTCCTTTTATATACTAAAACATATATAAGTGTTACGTTATTTTTGTATGAGAAATTTACTGAGGTAGAAATTCTCATGTTTAACTTATGCAGTGAGGCATAATTTCTTAGAAAGCATATTTGACATGTTTTAGGCTCTCCCCTCCCCCAGCTTTTCCCTAATATTTGAGTTAGCTTAAATTCTCTTTTATGGTTTGACTGGCCAGTGAAGTGATAGAGTTAGACTGCAGGTAGTCTGCATCAGAATACTCCCATCTGTTTGTAGATTTGGTTCCTTATTGTTCCCTTAAAGATGATTAAATTGGGTGACTTAGTATCTAGATGTTAAACAAAAAGAAGTAAGACTGTTGAATATAATTCCAAAATTTCTTTGCGAATAGGTCTAAGATCTAAAGTTTATAAAGGAATTGTTTAATAAATGTGATCTGTTCCTTTTAAAAAAGGGATCCATTCCTTTTCCCATCTTTCCATAATAAAAATCATTCCCTTCTACTACTCATTTGCACATACTTGCATCCTCCCCTCAAGCTTATGCTGGAGCAGAGATGTTTATATTTTCAAACCCATTTGAGTGTTAACAAGTATTACATATCCAAGGTTAAATTAGTCCATGGCCTGGTATTTGTTATCATAAAGGAAGATGCACACCTAAGATATCAAGTGATATATTTTTGTATTTATCCCAACTTTTGAACTTCAGTGTTTTATTAAATTATAGAACTACCATTTTGTCAGGGTAATATAAATAAATGTGAACAAATACTCCTTCAAATAATAAGAGGGCTAACTATCACGGTATAACTTAACACAGGTGAATATTTTATTATAACTGAACATATACATAATTTTGAAAAAGAAAATTCTTTGAGCAGTTAAAAACTTTTTTCTCCCCAGAATTAAAGATTATACTTCTTTTTTGCTCTTAATCTTATTCTGGATCATGTTAAAGCTTTGCAAAATTCTTCTGAATAGTACATTTGAATGACAGAAATGGGTAAATAACTTTTTATTTACTAAAATGTTTTTGAAACATAAACTCACATAGTTTTTGGTTTAATTTAGAAAAATTGGGCAAAATTTTTTAACTGAAAATAAGAAAGAGAACTTATGCAGATTTTCTTCTTTCAGAAATTATTTTATTCCAAAATAAAGACAAGTTGGCAGTATAAGAAAAAATTTTATCACTTATGTTAGAACACTGTAAAGCATATTCAAAGTACATGAAATAATTTCTTTCATAAAAATGGGATGTTTTATATGTATTAGTATTGCTGCATCTTAGCTATACACTATGTAGGCAAAATACCATCACATATTAATATAAATTCAAGGATAAGCCTATTATTTTAGAAACTAAATATGTATCTTGAGATGAATGTTTTAAATATTCTAGCTCTGTCACCTCTACCCTAAGTATTTTACCTACAGCATTTAAATTCTTCTCACATCAATCAGATAAATCTGCATCTATTCTATCTTCCTACATTGTCTTTGAGTTAGGGAGAGACAAGAAAAAGAACCACATTTCTAGATCCTCCCTGCTTTATCTCAATATAACAATATTTGGTTTTTATTTTTGTTAACTAGAGTAATATAATAATAAAAAGGTTATTTTTATTTGTTTAGAAAGACTATGGGAAATGGTAACTAGTAACTAGGTATTATCCTGTCCCCTTATCTGGATATTTAGGTGGCTGTGGTGAATGTTCTCAATATTTAGCATAGTTTAGTATCGGTTATTAGTTGTTTTTAGGCACTGAACTCTCAAAGTCAAAATTAATACCTGTTTTCGGCTGAAAACACTTAGAATCATCTTAGTAGTTTAGCACTTTAGCTTGGAGTCAGAGTACTGAATTTATTTTCAAATTACTTAGAATTCTACATAGATCAAGTATTATTCTACTCATTGAAAAGCATACCGTGGAAGCCCTTTAGATGGAATGGTCTGAAGGCTCACCTTCAGTACTCAGAGCTGAAAATGACTCAGGAGGAGGTTCCGGAAGGTTTATTTGAGGGTAAGTCCCAAGTTCTTTAAAATATTTTGTGTGTTTTACAAGGGAGTGAAAAGGGAATGTTTATATTCCGGGAAACCTCTTAGGGCTCTTGGTCATTGTGTTTTGCATCTATGAATAGACTTAATATTCAGTGGCCACCAACTATTCCTGCCTCCAGTACTGGTCTTCTGGCGGTGAGAATACAGTACTTCATTACAAAGCCATTTGATTACAGTCCATAGATGCCTAAAGACGTCCTACTTAAACATATAATAGCCGAGACTTCCCAAGTTCAAAGTGTGAACAGAAGCATAGACAAACTGAAGATGTAAATCGTGTTGCTAAGGAATTAAAGAATTTGTAAGGCCTAAGAGAATTCCTGTAACGGAAACCCCAAAGGGTGTAAGTATTTCTATGGAAGAGAAAGGAGGAGGTCAAATAAATAAGGCAATACTTCGGCAAACTTTGGATAATTTTTTTTGCTCCCTATTTATCTTTACTTATTTTTTGTTATTTTTATCATAGATTTTAACCAATCTATGTGCTGAAAAGAGTCATAAGTGAAATGGGATGGAAGTTTTATTTCTTCAGGCTTTTTAATGACTTTAGAGTACCATTATTGTGTTTAGGATGTTGATGTGTTTGTGCAACATGAATTTCACTTTTAAAATAAACATCTGAGGGGCACCTGGGTGGTGCATTTGGTGGAGTGTCTGACTCTTGGTTTTGGATCTTAGTGTTGTGAGATCGAGCCCCGTGTTGGGCTCCACGCTCAGTGCAGGGCCTGCTTGGGAGACTCTCCGTTTCCCTCTCAAATAAATAAATCTTTAAAAAATAATAAAATAAACATTTAAAAAATTAGTAGATATATTTTTGGACCTTTGTAATTTCTTAAGAAAAGCCATGTATGTGTCTGTGTCTACAATCTGTCTGCCTTAGCCTAGGTTGCTATACCAGAATATCATAGACTGGGTGGCTAAAACAACAAACTTTTCTCATAGTTCTGTAGTATGATAAGTCCCACCATTGAGGTGCCAGCAGATTTGATGTCTAGTGAGAGCCTTCTTTCTGGTTTGCAGACAGCTGACTTCTTGCTGTGTCTCCACTTGGGGAGGAGAGAGATCATCTTTCCTCAGTCTCTTTTATAAGGGCACTAATCCTGTTCATGAGGGCTACACCCTTGTGACCTAATTACCCTCCAAAGGGCTCCACTTGCAAATTCCATTACATTGGGGATTAGGGCTTTAATGTATGAATTTGGGAAGACACATATTCAGTCTATAGCAGTGTGTAAAATAGCAGGTTGTACATTCTCAACTTAGATGTGACATAACTACCATTGTTTCTTTAATTAAAATTAGAAAGTGAAGTGAAGGAAGCAGAATTCATTTTGCTCTTTCCTTAAATTCATCTCTTAGGATTAATGTGCTGGTTGTGTCTGTTTGGTACATTAGTGATGGGTAGAGACTGTTAAGCCCTGCAGATATTTGCAGGGCAAGGAAACAGGGGTCTGAATTTGGGCCAGCTGGATAGCTGAATCTTAGCGACTATTGCAGCAAAGCTAGGCCTGGTGAACTTTTTCACCAGGGGAACTTTTCTGAAACTTGACTAAATGTATTAATCAAGAAGACCTGTGAACAGATTTGGAAGTAAGATGGTCTTTGAAGTCCATGATAAGACATTTAGAACCGTGATTGACGTTTAACAAAATACTAAATTGTAATGAATCCAATCAGAAATTTATAGATGGAAGGTATCTTCTAATGCTTTTTAAATAATTTTAGATTTTCTAAAGAGTGCTTTCTAGCTTAGAGAACCACATGAATATTTTTCATCCAGGCTACTAAGCATAATTTCAGGGAGTTACAGTTTTAGGCTTTTTATCTAGATGTGTGATGAACCTTTTGTGCTCAGAAGAGGTATCCTCAGAGACAGTTACAGAACATGTTTTATTTTGTCAAGAATAACTAGTCCAGCACTGCTCACCTCTTCCCTCCTTTTCCCCCTCCCTCCAATTGCAGGGGTACATATTGAGCTTTCTGTTAAATGCTCTTTGTGAGCAGCGTTTACAACCAAGGATGTAAGCAAGGATGTGTGTTAAAGGAGTGAGCATAATTCCTTATAACTTCAGTGTCCAAGTCAGTACTGTCCAATAGGATTGTGTTGCTGGATACATTGTATCTCCACTGTCCAATATGGTAGCCCAAGTGGCTACCGAATATTTCAAATGTGGCTAGTGATACAAAGGAACAGAGTTTTAAATCTTACTTAATTTTATACTTTAAATTTTAAAAGCTACACGTGGCCAATGGTGGTCTATCTAACTGTGAAGAGAATAAAATTAGCGTATATTTAGTCTGATAATGTATCAGTAAACTTTGAAATCATGTCTGTGAGTTCTTGTGATAAACTTTTATGGATATAATTTAAGTATATACAAATATTGGTGTAATTTTATTGATTAAATCATTGTCGATTTCTCTTTTTCACTATTTGTATTTTGAAGAAGATACATTAAGTTGCTTTGTAATTACATTATTTCCTCAGGTAATTATGGTCCTTAAATGTGAGGCCAGAATAACAAATAGCATTTCATTTTTTTAGTGTAATCATCTGCAGCTTTCAGAATGAATACATCCAACTTTAAATCTTATTGATTCTCTAAAAACATAGATTTATGGTACGTGAACAAGGATACCTGGAGAACTGCCAGACCCACAGACACCAGACACCGTGTACGCTAGGAGGTTCCTTGAAGAAGTGCCTTCAGTCGCAGGCCTCTAGAGTTGTCCAGCAGTTCCAGTCTATTCCAGCACACACTCGACATCCTGCCAGAGCAAATGTAGATTGCAGATTTGGGCAAAAAAAACCCAGAAAACAAAGAGCACAATGAGCATTATTAGCACAGCCAGTTTAAAATGATGAGGTGTTAACCACATTTGTATAAATAACAGTTTCTGTAACCCCTGAATCATTATCCTGCATTTAAATGCAATCGGTTCATAAACATCAAAGCAAGAACACCAAATTTGTATGGGGTCAGGACCAACTGGGGCTCTGAATGGAGAGACAGCTGAGAGCCGTGTCCTTAACGCGTGGGTGGCCTTGCAGCTGTTGATTCACCCTCAGGCTACTAGACAGTTGCCTTTTTGCGCTTGCAGAACCAGACTTCAATCTGAGGTAAAAATGTATCCCCTCCCATGGGATGGACATAAACAATAGATTGACATCAGCTCTCCAAACATCAGCAAGGCGCCCAGACACAGCAGTCACCCTGAAATACTGCGAATTACCAAGCGGAACATCAGGGTGTTTCTACATAATATTTGTCTTTGTACAATACACTGGGCTCTCTTAAATGTATCATAAATATGAAAGCCCATAGTTAAAAAAAGATTGAAGGTGATATTATCCTTCTCTATAAACACTAGGAATAACTAGATTGTGTGACCCACAACTGCCATATATTGGTTCTTCCACGGACTCCCAAATACACTTGATGATAGGTGAAATTATGTATCACTAGCATATAAATCAGGCATAGGCATACACTTGTTCAAATAATAAAAATTTGAATAATATATCCACAATGTCTATCTAGCACAGTGCCTGCTGTGTAGTAGGGAGGGTCTCAAGAAATGTCCTCTGTTAGGCATTTGGAGGATCAGGCGCTGTGCATGTAGATTTATCATTCATTTCTGGTCTATGTAATTGTAAATGTTTCTCCCCACAAAAGTTTACAGTCTGCAGATAGTAGATACATATTGAGACTCAGTAACTTTACTTCTGGAAACGCTCTTCAGGAAAAGACCCTGATTACAAAAATGTTGTGTGAACGCTATTATAGCATTGTTTTCAATGGCAAGAAATTTTGGACAACCTACAACTTCAGTGATAAGAGAACATTTACATAAACTTTGGTACTTCTACTTTTCTGCTGCCATTTAGAAATGATGGCTGTGAAGACCAGTGAAAACACGTGTCAATAATGTTAACTTAAAAGGCAAGATTAAAACCATGGATAGGATAAGTTTTTTAAATGCCAAAAATTCATTAGATGAATATACGAATACATTATTAAAGAAGATAATTTTTGACAGTTTGCAAGACAAGTCTCACACTGAGTAAAAAGATCCTGACATTTAATGAGATATTAAAACATTTTTTTGCCTAATTAGACTGTTCCAGAACTCAAACTCTAAATACTGTCTTACCTAGGACACTCTAAGGGTTGATACGGAGAAGTGCAGAGGTAACTGTATCAAGAGTCCTGTTTGTTGGGGCGCCTGGGTGGCTCAGTTGGTTAAGCGACTGCCTTCGGCTCAGGTCATGATCCTGGAGTCCCAGAATCGAGTCCCGCATCGGGCTACCTGCTCAGCGGGGAGTCTGCTTCTCCCTCTCCCACTCCCCCTCCTGTGCTCTTTGTCTCTCTCACTCTCTCTCAAATAAATAAATAAAATCTTAAAAAAAAAAAAAGAGTCCTGTTTGCTAGAATCCTACTTTTTCTTTTTTTAAATTTTAACAGTTACCTTGCTTTGAACATTGAACATGAAAAATTTGATTCTTTCCCCCTTGTGTCACTTTGTGTCTCTTGATTAATAGAAATTTATTTTGAAATGAGTATCTCTATTTCCTTGATTTATTTTTAAAATGTTGCCTTTTCATGCTCAACCATCTTATTTTGATAGGTCCCATCCATCATTCAAGTTTAGGTTGAAACAGAACAAGTAATAATAACAACAAACATTTATACAGTAATTATTATATGCCAGATACTATTTGTTTTATAATGCCCTTAGCTCACACAGTCTTCCAATAACCCCATAGAGTTGGTGCTGTTATTGTCCCCAGTAAACATTTGGGGGAACAGGTAGTAGATTCGATAACTTGCCAAGGTCACACAACTAATACATTCAGGTCCAAGCTTGAATCAACAGAGCTGCTATACACAATAGTAATTCCCTAAGTTTAGGTGATATTAATGTCTTACAGAAAATGAGATTCTAAAAAAAAAAAAGAAAGAAAGAAAATGAGATTCTAGAAATTGAACTTTGCTCTGGAAAAATAAATGGACATGTTCTATTTTTCAGTTTCATTTACTTAGGACATAAACCTAGGGCCTGGGGAAGGTAGAGGGGACAACGTGTATTAAAAAGTGAAAACCTTCCTGGCAGTGGCAAGTTAGAGTTTCAAGTAGCATGTCTTCCCAGGCTTCATTTTGGTTGCCTCTGTCCGTTTATAATACCATGTACCGTTGGAGAGTTTATTTTAGGTCTTGAATATGTCTGGTAATTAAAATGTTTTAATTATCTGGGTTCTGCAGAAATGGAACTGTGTTACTACTGGAGTGGGATCCCATAGTTTTGTCTCTTAGAACACAACTCTGTTGCTCCTTTCATTACCAAGATACAATATATTGCCCATATGCTTCTGTTTATTATTTAATGACATTTTGATGATTCATAAAAATGTAAGTGCTGACATTTTTGCTATTAAGAATTTAGATATTTAAATTATGCTTTATACAGGAAGACTAGATTTTAGCTTTGAATGTTATTGGCTAGGAGATAACTAGAATTATGGAAGTTCCATTGTTACTGATGTAGGATCTTTCCTGGAAAATGTATATTTTCAGTACATCAAATTATAGCTTTCATTTTCTTGTGCAGTAGTTTCTGTTATATAGTGCTTTTCCTCTGGAAATTAAACAACAAATCGATGGGAAATATTCTTGAGGTAACACTTGATTAGTTTTTAAAAAGATTTTTACAGCAAAACGATAATTGTATGATTGTTTAATAAGCTGTGATGAAAATAGAGAAAATTGAGCATGTTGGTTTTCTCCAAATAGGAAGTTGTGAGAAATACCACTGCTCTCCTCTAGGTGGCATGATTTAGGCTATCATTGAATTAGCTGATTGATACAATTTTTTTTTCCCCTTCAACCAGATGAGTGCCTAGTCTCTGAGCAATCAATACAACGTGGCTTTGATTAGATTTAATTTTTACAACTGTCCAAATAACTAGGTTGACTTTGTCATTGCTGTTGTTTAATAACCTTAATTAACATTAGAAGACAAAGATCTCTAAAAGAAGCAAAACCCCAAATCTTATCTGTACTGACCAAACAACCAAAATCCTGTTTGTGTATGGTTGAGGTCCTTCTTGGGTCATAGCACACACCCATTTTCTAAATTTATTTCTTTGGTTTATGGTAAATAGCCTGCCATTGACAGAAACTGTAAAGATACTGCCTTGTAAAGGGGCACATGTGTATAACTAAAATAATCTAAGGTTAAAGCAGAAATTGTAGGAATTTGGATCACAACAATTTTCAAGTTAACAGGAAAACAACCTTTCAATTGAGTTAAGTTCTAGTTTTTGTGAAGCCATTACTGTTTATTAAGCAGGGAAGATCAACATGTAAAAAATGTCAGTATTAGGTAACCCATAAGCACCAGATGACATTCTTTTTTTCTGTACACTAAAATGAGAAGACAGAATTCATCTTTACTTTTCAAATTCTCTTATCAATTGTTCATTTTCCAAAATTTAAAAACGAATTTGTGCACAGAATACATGAAATGCTTAAATATCTTTTATCTTCTTCCTTTCCATGTGAAGACTGGCTTTCATGGAGCTCGAAAGAATCTTGACCAAGTACCTCTTAAAGGCTTCAGTTTTTGGGTGATGCATGTTTATATCAATGCTAAATCTGTACAAGGAAGCATCTTCAAATTTTAGCTCTGATGGTGACTATTAGAATCTGAAGCATAGACAAAGAAAAAAAAAGGCTTGGAAATACGCAAAATATATCACTATGGTAACCAAGAACAGGTGAATGTCTGACATTAACCAATTCAGATTTTAAAGTTGCTTTGTTTCAAAATAGGGTAACTATCTGGGACAGTCCCAGTTTACCCCTTCTGTCTTATAATGTATTTACAAATATCATCCTCTTCGGTCTTGAAAGTGCTCAGGTTTGTGTGATAAATTATACAGTCACCCTAGTTGTAAGAGCTTACTTTTCTAAGACTTAAACATCAGGAAAAGTTTGTAGCTGTGAGTCTCCAGTTGTATAGATTATAAACCACCCATATAACTTTGCTTTTTAAAATAGTATACTTATACTTTGCTTTTTAAAATATTTATTTACTAGTTTTTCCTTCTAACATAAAAAGCTACATTCAGCTATTCTTTTAATGTGCAATTACTATCCCCTCTGTTGGTTTTTGTTTCGTTTTCATTTTTTAATTGCAGGATAATTGAGGCAACAGAAAGGCAAGAAGGTTTGAAATAGAGGTTGGTAACTTTGCTAATGAAAATGTGCGCATTCAGATTCTCCCACAGTGATACCCACTGAGATGATGACAAATTCATTCAAAGAATACATATCTTAAAAAATGAAAATTTCACTTTACATTGTGATAGTCATTTTTTTAAATTATGAGCACATAATCATGTCTTTATGATTTGCCTTCTCTTTTTC